TGTGGGGGGGGGGAGAGCACAACTTGTGTGCCCTGCTTGCCCACAGAGTCAACAAGCCACCTCACCATGTAAAGAATGCTGTTCCTAAGCAGAGACGGGTTCCAAGGCTCCAAATTGGCGTCTGCATTCCAAAATCAGACTACAGCCAACTGAAATAAAACAGAAAATGTGTTTTGATGCTGAATTAGATTTTATTTAGAAAACTATCAACAAGTAACCTGACTGTAAAATTAAAAAGAAAGCTGATTTTTTTTTTTTTTAATGACTGGCATTATGGTATTCAAGACCCATTATTTCTAGGGCTAGGAATGTGGTTCAATGAAGAATACTTTTGATTCCTCATATCATAATCAAGTTGTCTTAGTTTGGTTTCTATATAAACACCATAACCATAAGCAACTTCGTGAGGAAAGGTCTTATTTGGTTTACATACCCCAGGTTATTGTCCAGTGATGAAAAACAAGGCAAGAACCAAGGCTACCTAGAAGCAACTGAAGCAGAGACTGTCTCATCCTGGCTTGTTCACTTTGCTTTTTTATCCTCTAAGGACCACCTGCCTGGGAGTGCCCGCCCACATCAATCATTAACGGAGAAAATGTCCCACAGACTAGCCTGATGGGCGAAATCCTTCACTGAGATTTCTTCCTCCCAAATCAGTCTAGGTTTGTACCAAGTTGACAAAAAACAAAAACAAAAACAAAAAACAACCATCACACAAGTTTTTTGAATTATGGTATAAAAATGCTTATATAAAACAAATAAGGCACTGTTCTATGCTACCCAACACAAACGAATTAACACAATCTACAACTGAAAGCAAAATATTTTTTCTTCCCTGACTGATTCTTAATTTCAAAGCTACAGTTAAATATTTAAAACCTCTTCCAAAACAGCCTAAAAAGTAATAGCTCTCCTGCTTGTTTATAATACCTTATTAACACAATCTCATCCATCTCTATTTGCATCTTAAGTGATCTTTTAAAATGATGGGTTGTGGGGTTTTTTTGTCGTTTGTTTGTTCCCAATCCGAGGAACAGCTGAGATAGCCCTACAAAATCAACAACTCTCTCAGTGAATAAATAATGGATGCAGAAAGCTGTCTGTTCAGAGATTTAGTCTACCGTACCCACGGCCATGAAATTCCAGACATTTAATAAGAAACGGTAGTTGACCTTAAAGTATAAATGTGGAAGGGCCGCAGGACCCCTTCTTTCACCTATCTGTGTCCCAGAACTCTGCAGGGCGCAAAGCCGTGGAAGCAAAGCCCAGGGAAAGACCTTGGATCCCATGACCCGCCCTGGGACCTCCCCTTGAGGGACCCCAGCTGGGTCTGCAGTCTGCAGGCGACTCC